CCTCCCCTCCCCTCCCCTCCTCCCCTTCTCTCCTCCCCCTCTTCCTCCTGCCCCCTCATCTAATCCCCATTCTTTTTTTTGCACCAGCGTTTTCAGAAGCCTTCTCCTCATGACGTTGACTATTCATGAGCGTACCTAAAAACCTGGAAGCAACAGAAATCTAACATGGGATTTGTTTTGAGCTGTGTTATCCCACCGTCAGGATCACTCCATCAACAGTGCAACCCACCACCAGCCGTGGCTGACCAGGAGCTTCCCGCATCCAGAGTACCAGGCGGGTGCTTTCTGTGCATCCTCAACACAATCCTACAAGGAGTGGACCCCAGATCCTCGCTCAGTGAATGCCCGGAGTGAAGAGGTAGGGACTCGTGCCGGCCCCAGCGAGGCCGAGGGGCTACCCCAGCCTCCAGCCCCAGCCCAGCTCCCACAGCCTCACGGCCTCTCTTCATGGTCATTGAAGGCACTTGGATTTTTCATACACTGCCCCCAACTGGGGACACTTGGTCTGTCTTTCCTTGAAGGGTCACTGACACCTTCTTCAACTGGCAAACGGAAACCCTGAAGCTGTGGGAGGTTCAATCGCGGGCCTGGGTCAACACCCAGGAGGTGACAGAGCCAAGGAACTGGAGCTCTGACTCGGAAGGCCAAGGCCCTCGAGGTTCTGAACAAAGGCAGTGCACGGGCCAAGTGTCAGGYGACAGCTGAACGCATCGAGGATGGAGCCGGCAGACCCTGTGGGCTGTTCCGAGCCCTGGCTTCTCCCAAGAAGCACCTACAGCCGGCCCCTGAAGTCCTTGGCTCCCCATCCTTGAATCCAACCAACTGTGGACTTAAAACATTCCCAAAACTGGGTCTTTATTAAGCATGTTCAGATTTTTTTCCCTTCTCTTTGTTCCCTGGACAATACAGTGTAGCAAGGATTTGCCCAGCTCATTGTACTAGGTGTGCAGAGTCATCGAGAGGTGACCCAGAGCTCTGAAGGAGGTGTGCTGGTCTATGCCATCTGTGTCAGGGACCCAAGCAGCCTGGATCTGGGTGTCTGCTGGGAGCTGGACACATTCTCCTGTTGATTCCAAGGGATGAATGTACTTTTAATTGTTTAGCTGTTTCTTATGGAATTACCATTTGTATTTCTAAGGAACACATTGCAACTGCTCGATATTTACTACCCATGTATTATCCACATACCTAGACCTTCTACTGTGGGAGACGAGGAGTGAGCTCTTATACACAAGGGTACACACAAACACACACACCTACCTTCCCTTCCCTTCTCTATCTAATAATGCTATTAAAGCCTGATTTTAAGTAAATACTTGGCATTTGCAATATTATAACTAATAAAGTTTTATTTAAACCTGAGCCATTAAGGGTATTTGAATTAAATTTCCTTCATGGTGAAACTTTTTATTTGCCTTAGGGTTAGTAATTGGTTCATGCTGTGCTAAATGCTAAAAAGGACTCCATACCCTCTGGAGATGCGCACTGAAACATTTATGCATGAAATTATAGGATGACTTGATCTGCTTCAAAATGGCCCTGAGACACGGAGGCTGAATTCAGCCTCCCTCTGGAAACAGCTGGGAGCTAACCACTTCCCCGAGCACCTCGCTCTTCCCAGATAAGGACAGAGGTCCACTGGGCGGGGCATCTGCAGGAAGGGAGGACAGAGAGTGCCCTGGGCTGCCCTTCCCGCACACAGCTGGGAGCCTGCAGACCAGGGAGGGACCCCCAAACACAGGCCAGCTGCCTGATGGGTCATGGTTTGACCTTGAACGTTCTCCAAAAGCCCTGTGTTAATACAGAGGTGAGATGATGAGATTATGAGGGCTGTAAACTCATGGGGGATTAATCCGTTGGATGGATGACTGATTTGAAAGGACTGACTGGGTGATAGCTGTAGAAAGGTGAGTGTGGCTGCAGGAATCAGGTCACTTAGGGTGTGCCCTCTGACTGTAGTTTGTCCCCGACGTCCCTCTCTCTCTCTCCCCCTCCCTCCTTCTGCTTCCCAGCTGCGGTGAAGGAAGCAGCTGTCCCCTGCCAGGCCCTTCCCTCACGATGGGGAGAATGTGCCTCACCTCGGGCCCAGAGCAGTGGAGGCAGCTGACCGTGGACTGAGACCATGAGCCCAAGCAAACTTTTCCTCCTCTAAGTTGACCTTGCCAGTGTCTTGGTCAGTGACAGAAAGCTGCCCCACACAATGGGTTGTGACAGCGGCATGGCTCAGACCCAGGAGGAGCCATCCCGGCCTGCTGCAGGCCCTGCGCCCTCCACACTCTGACTGACCGGCTGGACAGCTCGCAGCACCGAGGAAGACCATCCTCACACAATGACTGATTCCAAAGGATAAAACTCGGAACGGCCAGATGGAGGAGGGCAGGGGCATGGGGGTGGGGCGGGGAGAGCTTCCAAAGCCTCTCAGGGGCCACCGCCTCCAGCAGCCCCATAGCTCCCAGTAGCTCCTTGTTCCAAGTCTCTCAAACTCCATCTCCAGCCAGCCCACCCCCTGGTGCTGTGTCCAGGAGCCTCAGGAGGTGAAGGCCCAGCCTTCTAATCACTTGGTCTTTCTGGCAACAGCCCCACCCAGAAGCTATCTAGGGCCCCGCCCTACATCAGGTGTGACTGAAAGGAGCCCATTTTGGAAATAGGAGACACTCTAGCAAGAGACAACCAGGAAATGCCAAGATCTCCAGCAACTGGAACTGGAGACAGAGACTGAATATAAACAGGTGGAAATATGACTCTGCACTAAAGGACATCACATATTATAAATATTTCATAAACCTAAGATTTTATCTCATTTTTAACCCTCCAGAGGGTGCCTGAGAGTCAGAACACGGGTCACCCGAGCAGCATGAGCCCACCTCCTCCCCTCCCCTGCAGCTGCCCACCATCCGGGGACGGAAATCGCCTAGAGGCCCAGCTCACGGTTTCCACCTCCCCTCCACCCACCCTCCTCAGGGTCTCCAGAGTGACCTTCCCAAAGTGCAAGTTCCATTGTGCTCTCCTGTTTGAAACCTTTCCAAGACCAAGCAATGCCAGCGGCTGTGCCACGCTCCCCGTGCGGGGCCCAGTGCAGGGTCCACCCACTGACTCTGTCAAGCAGGTGGGGAATCTGGGTCTGTGGATGCTCCATGGCTGCATGGTGGCCCCTGGAGGAGGAGCTTCCCCACCCCACAGCTGGGAAGGTCCTGGGGGCCACTCGAGGAGGGTGGGCAGGCAGCAGGCAGCTGGAGGTCTTGGACAGGAGACAAAGGGGCTGCTGTGTGCGGATGGGGAGCTGCCAGAAGGCGCCCGGGCCTCCAGGATGTCAGTAGAAAGGGGGCATCTGTGGCAGATGAGGGCTCCAAAGTCAGGAGGCCCAGGTTCCACGGGCAGAGTGACTGAGGGCAAGTCACCCGAGCTCCCGGAGCCCCAGCTTCCTGGCTGTGAGATGGGAGTGGTGCTACCCGCCTTGCTGGGTATTAGTGGTGACTGAAGCTAGAAGGTTCTGGCAGCAGCTGTCAAGAAAGAGACGTCATCCGTGATCCCTTTCCTCCCCTCGCTGGTGACAGGATCCTGCCTGGTCACCTCCACCCTCAGCAAAGACCCTTTGTATTGTACTCCTCCTACAGTGACCTGGCCAGCCCTGAGCAGACGTCACTGGCCAGGGCCATGGCTGTGAGAGGACACACCAAGGCACCACGTCCTCCTAAGACCTGATGCAGAGGGCCCTGAGGGTGTCCCCTGACCGAGGCCCAGGGGAAGGGCTGGGTTTGGGCCCGGAGAGCACGTTGAGCAGCTTATTAGCTGATTCTGCCTCAAGATCTAAAAATCACTTCCCTCTGGTTTCTGAATCTCTTCGCCTTGCACAACTGGAAAGACCACTGAGACGTGAACAGGCGATGGCATTCCCCAGGGGCCAGCATGTTTTCTGGCAGCTCAAGAGACAGGGCAAAGCCCTCTGCTGGACGCCACGATGGGGAATCAGGAACAGAATCAGGAACAAGGGCCCCACGTAAGGCAAGTGGAGAGCTCTGTGTAAAATGTATTTATTTTCAAAAGTTCCCTTTATAAAACCAGAATATGTAGCAAACACAAAATGTGAGAACAGCGGGGCCCGTCCTCAACACGGACCACGTCACACAGCTGGGCACAGGGGTGCAAGCTGGGGCAGAGTGTCCTCCAGGTCCCTGGTGAGTCGGGACCAAAAGAAAGGAGTGTCCACATCCTCATGGTGTGGAAGAGAGCAGGCCAAATGGAAACCCATGAGACCACACTGAATCGTCACTGAGGCCAGCGTGTGCAGGGGACCCGTGTCTTCTGCGTGGGAACCGGTACGCTGCAGGCTGAGCGTTAGCAGCAGCACGCAGGGGCCTCCCCTAGTCCAAGCCCAGGGCCCTGCTGGCCTTCTTGGCGTTCAGGAAGTTCTTCTTCCTCCTGGGAGGGATGTGCAGAGAGATCTCCGGGTCCTTGGGGTTTCTGAATATGAAGAGCTTTTCGCCTGTGTTTAACACGTCGAGGGCTTGCGCACCTAGGATGGGGACAGGGGCTGGTTCGCCAACGGGCTCCAGGGACAGGTGCGGCCAGCCTTCTCCGCAGAACGCCATCCTCTCCCTGATGGGGACATGCGTCTTCTTTAATATGCTAAGGAGAGAACAGGAGGTTGAGCTGACAGGTGGGACTCACTCTGACCTTCCTGAGGGTTCTGAGTTCTCCAGGAGATTCCCAGCCACGTGCCATTGAAAGACCCTTCCCACCTGTGGGCACCAGAGTGCCCCTGAAGTCAGTGGAGGCCTGTGGCAGCACTCCAGCCGTACTGGCCCGTGACTCAAGATCTCAGGAGTCTTGTGGGGTCGTTGTCATGACATTGTCAGCTGGGGCTCAGCCTGGCGGGGAGTTCACACCATGGAGATTGGCAGGGCCCCGGGAAGGCTCCGCCCCACCCCCGGCCGACTCTCAGACATTTACAAGGAGACCCTGGGCCTCACTGTAAACCAGCTGAGGAAACTGGGTACTAAGCAAAAGTTCCAGGCCGGGCAGACGTCAGCAGAGGGTAGCACACTTAGGGAGGGTCCTGGGACAGGACTGCTGCAATCTGCCCCTGAGCCATCCCGAGTCCCCAGGCTCTTGAGAATGCCGTGGCTACTGCTGAGAGCCCGTGGGGCCTGAGAACCACTGGCGCTCTCTGCCCAAGCAGTGCAGGACAAGGCCACAGCCTGGGTCTACAGGGGATATCACTGGCCAGTGGGATGCTGGACCATCTGTCCCCAGCCTTGCAGCTTGTATGGGCCTGAGCGAGGACTCCCAGGTGGCTCTGGCTCATATCCTACTTCCCTTCTCACCGTAGATCCTGGTGCTTCTGGGCAGGGCAAAGGCTACCACAGTGCGCCAAGTGCTGTGACCATCACCCCCCATGTCACCTGCGGCACACGGGTCAGTGCAGCCCAGGAGCGCTCCCAGGGTAACACACTGGTCACACAGCTTCAATCTGGACTTAGAGTGGCTTCTCCTGACCAACCTCCGGACCTAATTTCTTTGGGACGACTTTCTGATACCCCCATCACAGACAGCCCCAAGCTGTTACCATGGACGATCAGTGACGGGCTCAGCACCTCCACCTGAGCTCTGGAATGATGGAGGCAGGGGGTTTGGCAGACCCTCCCCCTGGACAGTCACTGCTCCCCGAGCACAGGGCGCCTGCCACTTTTTAAACCCAGATGAGCTCGCCTGATGTGACTTCCCTAAATCCCTCGTAGATGGAATCCAGGAGACACTTGGTCAACAGGTGGTCACATCTAACCCACTGTGCCCCTCCCGTCCCTCTGAGCTCCAGGTTTGCAAAAATCACAGGCCAGAGATGCAGGCCTTGGGCACACAGAGCATGCACAGGCCTGGAGCGTTAGGCAAACACAGGGACTGTTACGGTCCACGTCCCAGGGCCACCAGGTCCTGGGTCTTGGGGTCCCTGGACTTCAGGTCTATCATCTTCATTTTCTGGAAGGTTCAATGCAATGAGAAGTGAAAGGGCTTTGGGAATAATAATGTCTGAACAGCTACAAGGAATTATTCCTTTTCTAATTATAGCCCTTAAAATAGCTATTAGCTAAAATAAATACAGTAATTAAAATGCTAATAATGATATAACATTCTCCTCCCGATAGCTGCAGCTTATCTTCAGCTTCTAAACTAAGCCCATGGAATAAAGATGTGTGGCCTTCAGGGAGGACCCTGCCCCGTCACCGGGCACCTTCCCACGCTCTCAGGCAGCGTGGACGGCCCTCCCTGCACCTGCGCCAGCGCCTACCTCGCCTTCCTCTGTTGGGCCCAGCGGACCTTTTCCAGGCCCCTGGCCGTCAGATCGCCGCGCAGTTCCCTCTCCAGGGCTTGCCACCAGGCCTGGTGTTTCCTAACAGCAGAGAGAGGCTCGGGTTAAAAAGGACAGCCTTCAACTCCCCCCCTGGTGACCTCTGCTGGCCTCCGTCCCCCCCGTGTGACCTCCGCCGACACAGGACCCCTGGTCTCCACGCCTCCTTTCCCTTGCTCAGGACACACCCATCAAGCAGGCTCTTGGCCTGGTCAAGGAGGAAGCTCTGCCCTCGAAGGGCTCCCAGTCSGGGGGATCACAGCGACAGGGGACATCAGTCAAAGAAGGCAACACAGAGCTGGGGACATCTGAGCTCAGGGAGCAAGGGGGGCGTTCATGAAGGGCTGTGTGGCTTGTGGGGCCCGCCTTGGCTGGGGAGGCATGGCGGGTGCGGGCGGGGTTCCGTCTCTTAGTCCTCCTGCCTGAGCCGGGTCAGCGTGTCCTGAACATGCGTGTGCAACACAGAGAAGCACGTGGAAACCGGGAGGGTGGCGGGCAGGGCGTCCTAAGGCCATGGACAAGTGTGACTCCAGACCAAAGGCGAGGGACCTTGTCACACTGTCAGGGAGACTGAGAGGAGAGCTCGTGGGCCTGGGCCCCGGTTGGCAGAGGACGGCATGGGCCAGAGAGTCCAGCCCAGGGGCACTTTCCTCTGCGCCGTGCTCCCACCCGCCCACCTGGAGGTGGGTGCAGCTCGTCCCTCCCCACAGTGGGCCGGGGGCTCTCCTTGCCAGGAGACATATCTCTGACGACAGCACCCCACAGCTGCTGCCCGCGGTGCTTCCTGGGCCTGACCCTCCGGGGCTGGACACAGCTCTCCCCACACCCCACAGGTCCCTCAGCGACCGGCTCCCGTGCAGCCGGTCAGCTTCCTCGGCTTGAAAGCCAAGGCCTCAGGGAGGGGCTGCCAGGCCCCGGGCGGGGGACCAGGAAGAGGGCCTGCCTGCCCTCAGGGACTCTGGGTGGCCCAGGCCAGGAGAATCCTCTAGGCCCCTCGGCTAGGAGGCTGGACAAAGTGCAGGCACTTGCCACCCGAGTCCTCCTGCTGTACCAGCCCAGCAGGCCCTCTGGACTTGCTGGACTGCAGGACACGAGGACGGCTCTTCCTCACGGCTGGCCTCACGCCCTCCCTCCCCCTCACCCAGCTCTGCCCACGTGTCCTCAGCTCGCAACCTCTGGAGTCAGACCCCTCCTCAGCTCTGACCAGACAGCCCCAGGTCAGGAAAGCAGTGTCCACGTGTGTGCCCACCATCGCCATTCCAGGACCCCCAGGCCCCCGCCGTCCAGCCACAGCCTCCTACAGGTCCTGGATGAGGCGGGCTCTGGCAGCTGGGGCCCTACCCTTGCCAACCTAGTCCACTTTTCCTTTCTCAAGTGACACTGCGGGCTGCCCCCCAGACCCACCCCAGCCCCACTTCTTGCCTTCCCTCAATGGACCCAATTCACTCCTGGACTCGGAACCTAAAGGAAAATATCTGCAGGGTTGTAACAGCTGAGGAAAAGTGGCCCCAGTGAAGATGGGGACAGCCACCTACCTAGGCTATGCCTGTCTGGAGTACTGGGCCGCCATTGAAAACAATGTCTGAGAAGATGTGTCAATAACAGGGAAAGCACGGCTTGAAGTAGCAGGAAACGCAGCTCAGCTACTGGGACAAGAATCGCCCAGGAACATGGAGAGCTGCCCCCGCACTCAGGCCTGTGGGCACAGCGTCAGCACCGCGGGCGCCCGACACCCACACGCAGGTGTGGGCCAGCAGGGCAGCTCCACTCCAGTCTCGCCTGGGGGTGGGGCCAGAGCAACGAGTTCAGTGGAAACAGCACTTGGAGCTTCGAGTCGGGGTCTTTCCCCAGGCGGCCCCTCTGTGGCCCAGGCCTCTCTTGGATGCTGGGCAGCAGCAGTTCCCAGTCACCGCAGGGCCACGAGGGCCTCCCCACTGTCCCGGGCCGTGCCGCAGTGGGGTGTTCTGCCCGAGGGGTGTCAAACACGCTTCCCACCCACACATTTTCCACCAAGGATGGGTTTATGGGGACGAGAGTCACGACCTGGTGGTCAGCACACACCTCAGCCACACTCAACACACGCATGTGCACTCAGAAAGCCTGTGGAGGGAGAAATGTGACCAACGGACAGTGAGCCTGATGGTAGGTCTGATCCCCTGCCCCAGTCCCATTACGGGTCACCCTCTCTCTGGTTTCCAGAGGCGGTCACCACAGGGCACTCACCTCCTCCTGCCAGGGTCAGCCTGCTCCCTGCCCTCGTGGTCTGCCGGGCGGTCCGAGTGCTTCTCACTGACCGAATCCAGCAGGGCCAGCAGCTGGGGCTGGGAGCCCGCGGGCAGCAGCACACTCAGGAGGCGGCACAGCGTGGCCCCGGGCACCATGGCCATCTTGCAGAGGTACGACGCCAGCCTCAGCTCCTAGGGCAGGCAGGGGAAGGGGAGCTCAGCCCGCGCCACCTCTAGACTTGACATGCGTCAATTTTAAATTTATTGCATTCTTAGGGCTCTTTGTCTAAGGGGAATAAATATTTTAGTCGTTAGTCTGGAAAACAGCTTCTAAATTCACAGAGCTGTCAAAAGAATCTATTTGGTGAGCACCTGTGGCACCCACGGCATTCCTGAGGCCGCGTCCCTCCCTGTGACTGTCCTCGGCTCTGTCGGCAGCGCCCAAATCACACAGCAGAGGCCCTGGCCTGCAGCAGGGACACTGCTCACCTTTCTCCTCCTGTTCCACTTCTGTGAGGCCACACGGCCCTGAGGACCATTCAGGCTCCAGAAACAACTGAAGTGTCCCTAAACCAGGGACAGAGAGTGTCCCAGAGACACTGTGCTGCGTCCTTACCACAGAACACTGTTCTGCAATAAATAAAAGAGCTGGAAGGGCCTYGGGTCTAAGGCTGCTTGACTCCAGGCACACAGGTCTGCGGCCTGGACAACACTCAGAGCTGGGGCAGACCCTGGGTGGCCAGGGTGGGCAGTAGGGGGCAGCACTGGGAGGGCTCTGTGGGGAGGACAGGCGTGCATCCCGACGGGGTGGACCCTCTGTGCTCAAGTGACAGAGAACGGTGCACGTGCTGACACCGATGTCAGCTCCTGACTGTGACGTGCTCTGGGCAACAGCAGCGGGAGACACGAAGCCCGGTGGACGCTGGAACGCCCCACACTGGCTCCACGACCTCCTGGAGAAACCAGCACAGATCTGGTACTACAGAAAGCTCCCTGGCGCCCAGCAGCACTGAGCAGAACAGAGAGGCCTTGGGCCGGTTCTCATCTCTCTCTGCCTCCGCCTCCTCATCTGTAAAATGGGGGTTAGGATGACACTGTGGCACAGGGTTCGGGGAGGACAAATGGAGCTAGAGCTTGTCCCACTGTCCTGTATCACACAGGCACAGGTAACAGCACTTCTGGTCAGGGCAGGCACACCTGACCACCTGGCCAGTCAGACCTCCCCTGGGACTTCAGCGAGGCCTAAGACTGCCACACAGCAAGGTTGGGGTGGGGAGGGCATCGAAGGGCCAGGAGCCCAGGGCTGCCAGCCACATGTCCCTCTAGGAGGCGGTCATTCATGTGCACTAGGAAGCAGGAGAGCCCTGCGGAGGCAGAAGGACCTGGGGAAGTCCATTTGGTGTTTGTACCCCTCGGGCTCAGCCCGGCTTTCCTGGGGGGTGGTCAGGGGATCCAGATGTTTCCTTTTATATAAAACAGCATCAGGGATGGGGCGTGGCTCAGAGGTAGAGCACTTGCCCACCATGCGTGAGGCACTGGGTTCGATCCTCAGCACCACATAAAAATAAATAAAGACATGTGTCCACCTACAACTAAAAAATAAATATTTAAAAATAAAACGAAATAAAACAGCATCACATTTGCAGATACCCTGCACACAGCCTCTCAAACCTTCCCATCATCACCTAAGACACGGGACACAATGGTTACCCACCGGGCACAGCATTGGCTGGGGAGAGGCCCTCAGTGTTTGGTAGAGACACGGCCCTGCCCGACCAGCTGCACAGCACCTGTCCACAGCGATGCAACTTATTTTGGATCCACAGTTGGGTGAATGTGGGGACATGGAACCTGCCCKAGTGTCCCCTGCCTGCCATCTGTGCTGGGGCCACCCATGACCTGCTCTGAATTTCCCGGGCCAGCTTCCTCAGCCCACTCGATGGCTGGGGACAGGCAGCTCTGAGGAAGGGGAAGAGGTGTGTGCAGGGGACAGAGGAGGGGACAGAGGCAGTCTGGGGCGGTGTCTCCTCACCTGGCCGCACAGGGTGGCGAAGGTGTCTGTCTCCATGTTCTCCAGCAGATCTTCCAGCACAGCACTGTCCTGCTGCTCTTGTCTCCAACTAGAGGGAAAACAGAGCCCAGTGAGGCCGCTGTGATAAGAAGGGACACCATGAGGCCATCCAGGCTCCAAGTAAGGAAGAGGGATCAAAGCCACACCGCCGCGTGAAAAAGAAGCATATGGACATATGTATGCGCGCACACACACACACACATACGCGCACACACACACGCACATGTACACAGATATACGAAGAGATGGTGGGAGGCCTGTGCCTCTTGTTGCCTAGGCCACTTCCAAGGAGGGTAGCCAGGAGAGGGCTGCTTGAGGGAGGTTCCGTGGGCCCCTGAAGGAAACGTCTGACTTTGACAGAGCTCTGTGACCCTCTCTGAAGTCTGGGCAGCGGTCCTCAAGGCCTGCACCAAGAAGACCAAGACCTGGTCCATGTGCCCTGCGCTGAACAGACCCAGAGCCACTGTCCAGGGAGGACCTGGCCCTGACCACAGGACCAGCTGGCTTCCCTTCGCAGGAGCCTCCTGTCCTCCACGGGAGCAGCTCTGCTGGCCACATGGCCTGCCCACAGTCCTTCTTGTGGCCACACCAATGTGTCCTCAGGTGCAGCTCAACGCCTCCAGGGAGCGCGTGAGCACTGCACCCCCCAACGCCCAGCCCACCTACCCACGCCTCCGAGAAGCTCCTGRGCACACGCTCAGCCCTTCACGGTCACCTCAGAGCCCCGAGCCGTGCTCTGTTGACACAGCATCTCACCACCCGGAGATCATGCCCATTGAACTCCAGTCTGTTTCCTTCTGACTAACTCGAGTCTGTTTTCAGGGCCCATCACACTGCCCAGTCCAGATGGCCTCACGTTCCCTCCACACCCACGCCATGTTCACAGTGGAAACGCCAGAGCTGTGAATCTTGTTTTTCTAAGAGTCCCTGATGCCACAGGCCAAGCTAACTGTCTAGTGTTAGTTGAAAAATAATTCAAAGAACAGAGAAAGACGACAGGAGCTCGGCTTTGCAATCTTGATAAAGCGCCATGTTTACAATGAGATCTGAATGAGGCCTGAGTTCTGCTGATGTCGGCCCACGGCTTGGTCCTGCACTAAGATGATGGAGAAGCTGGTGAAGAGGAACAAGACCTCTCTCTATTATTTTTGCAACTTCTTGTAAGTCTGTGATCATTTAAAAAGTCTAAAATATTAGTAAACCTCAGTGATATGAAAATAAAGTATCTTAGAAGGACATCAGGGAACAAGGAAGCCAATTCCTGCCAAGCTGGGTGGCTCGTGCCACGGGCTGGCTGGCACCATAGGCGGGAGGATGARAGGCAGGTTCCCCAGGCCTGCAGGGGACGTCACCCTCGGGGACTGCGGGCCATGGGACGTACCTCTGCTGGTGGAGATCCAGTAACTTCTGGCCCTTGCCCAGGGCCTGCTGCAGGACGGTGGAGATGGGCCTTTCGGAGTCCTCCTCCCCAGGCTCGCTCAGGAGCCCAGGCCCCCCAGCCACCCAGTGCTGCCAGCTGGCCAGGGCCTGCTGCTGCTGGGCTGCCTCCTGCTGGGCCAGTTGGTCCTCCAGCCTCCTCTCCAGCTCCTGGAGTTCCTGCACACAGAGGGGACAGGTGGTGAGTCCCACTACAAATGTAAATGGAGCCAGGACAAAGTCTGACCTCCCGGCACGCRCTGGAAGCCTGCTGGGCCCATCTTGCCTGGTTCCCCTGGTAGCGAGACCAGCTATAGGATGTGCCCACCACCTCTGTCACAGCTCCACCCAACAGCACGTGGTGCTCCTTCCTCTACAGGGACTTCCCGACTGCCGACAGACCATACCTCCTGGGTGGCAGGCTCCCTAGTCCCTGGGGGACAGGGATGTCCCTCCTCACATCCCACTGACACCCTTCACATGCCCTTTTTTGTAGCCACCTGCATCACTGTCATGCACCCTTTGGCTACAGCATGGGCTCCCTGAGAGCAGGGGGAGCCTCCTGCTGCCCATCTGCACCGTGCCGGGCAGCTGCCACCTGTCCCTGGATCACCGTAGAGTTCCTGCCAGCATCTGCCACTGAAGAAGCCACGGGACGCAGCACCACGGTCCCTATCAACAGTGCCTATGGCACAGAAGCACACCAAAGGGCTGCTGGTCCCCGATGGCACCAACTTAGGAGGCTCCATTACTACTTCTGCCTTCGCCATGGTGTGCAGGCAGAGCACACGCAGGGAAGACAGACGCTAACTCTGGAATTTGGATGGTGTCCCAGGCGGGTGACACGCAGTACAGTGTTTTCTTGCCGTAGTGGACTGTGGTGGCGGCATGGTCCCCAGCCAGCCCCAGGTGCCAGGATGGACAGCAGCGCTCCAGTGTGTGCTGAGCTGCCAGGCAGGCCAGGGCTGCAAGTGAACTTGAGTCTTATTCTCAGTTTATCGTGAACTAACCCTGGAGGTCGGGGGGCATCTGTGGGAAGATCTCTGTCCTTCAGCGACTCTAGACCACACCCCCCCTTCTCTGAGTTTATGGATGAGGAAATCGGGGCAGAGTGGCGGTGACGTTCCAGTGACGCACTCAGAGGCAGAGTCGGGATCCGAGCCCAGGCCAGCGAACTCCAGGCTTGTGCTCTCACTGGGCCATGCTGCCTGACACCGTCACAGGGCATCTGCCTTCCCAAGTCAGCAGAAAATCTCGGCAGAGGACCACAGGGTAGGTCGGAGGCCCCCAGGCCTTCAAGGTGCATGCGGGGGACGCCGAGGTGGAGGACAGTGGGGCTCATCCTGAGAGGTCCTGGGGGGCCTCACGGGGGACGGTGGCCCCTGATCCTCCTAAATATGTATAAAGTACTCTGATTTCTGCGGAGGGAACAAAGTTTGTATCAAATTCTCAAGAGTCCCACAGTCCCCAAGGCTCAGAAATACAACCCGAGAACCAAGACAGTGGGACAAATGGCCGAGAGGAGCCCTGAGGACACAGCGTGGAGACTGACCGCCTGGCCACGCACTCCAGCTCGATCCAGGGCCTGGGAAGCCTCTGAGAGCTGCAGAGCGGCACCCCCGCCCACTGGGGTCTGCCATCCTGACCACTGACCACTGCAGCACCCTGAGGGGGAAGAYGTAGCCCTACATGGTTTCCCACAGTGTCCTGTTGAGCTGAGCTCATGGCCAGCAGCCTGTCAGAGGCCAGACCTCTGCTGGGAACAGTGTGGGATGGAAGACTCCAACCCGAGCCTGTCGGGGTCACCAGAGAAGTGGTGGAGCACAGAGGCCACCTTTTCTAAGGAGCTTGAAAATCCCGGGTCAGGAATGGAAGGCAGGTGCACATGGCCTGCAGCTCAGCGTTCTCTCATGGGACCTTCTCCAGGGCTTCAGGCCTGTGCCCAAGCCTGCTCCCCCTCCGCACCTGCTGCTGGGTTCCAAACTCTGCCTGGGCCTACCTTCTTTAGAGCTCGCTTGGCTTTAAATACAAGGACCACGAATCCCGGGCTGTGATGACCTGTCTTTCTCCCCAACAGTGAGAACAGGGCCCAGCTCGTGGAAAAAGTTAATAATAATAATAATAATAATAATAATAATGGCAGTTAACATTTCCTGAATGTCTACACTGGGCCAGAGCATTGACACAATTTATTTAATCTTCACAAAATGACACAAAATTGGATTTACCATTATCCCTTTTTATAGACAAGGTGACTGAGGCACAGAGAGTGTAAGTGAAACTCCTGAAGTCACAGTGTTGGGCAAAAACACAGCTGGAGAGAACTGAGGTTTCTCTGGTCTCTGGTCCCATCTCAGTTCAGCGGCCTCAGAGAGCACCACCAGGTACCTGCCCGGTGCACGAACAGAGCGACAGCTGGTGACACCGATGGGTGGTGGCAGGAGGGATGATAGGTAGACAGGGACAGAAAGATGGATGGACGATAGATAGAGGACAGAAAGATGGCAGAAATAGATTAGGTAGAGAATGGATAGACAGACCGACCGACGGATGGATGGGTGGACAGAGGATAGAGTTCCTTTTTGCTGGGTATTTGTCGGGATTCAGAGTGAGTGAGGCATGTCTCTGGATCCTGAAGACTCAGTGTGGGGAGGGGGCAGTCCGTATGCAGAGACAGAGACAGAACACCATCCTCGGTGATCACAGATTCCAATGGGGCTCTGGGAGCACAGAGCAGGGACAGAGGGTGCCACAGAGGGCATCCTGGGTGGCTTGATGGAGGAGATCCCTGGGCTTGTCTTAGAATGTMGACAGGAGTCTGCCAGGAGGTGAGGCAGAAGTCTTCTAGGTAGAGGTCCCTCTAAGGAACAGATGCTTGAATGTATCTCAGGGCTCAGAGCAGCAGGAAGGTCTAGGGCCGAAGCCCAGGGTCTGAGGGAGGAATGGTAGGAGGTCAGTGTTTTGTTTTGTTTTTGTACCAGGGATTGAACTCAGGGGCACTTAACCACTGAGCCACATCCCCAGCCTCTTTGGGTATTTCATTTAGAGTCAGGGTCTTGTTGAGCTGCTTAGGGCCTCGATAAGTTGCTGAAYTGGCTTTGAACTTGCCATCCTCCTGCCTCAGCCTCCCAAGCCATGGGATCATAGGCATGGGCCACTGCTCCCAGCCAGGAGGTAAAAGTTTAAATGTGGACCTGGCGGCTGGGGCTGTGCGTGATCATTTTATTTTTTCATAAACATCCCTTTGGCCACAGTGTGGAGAGGAGACTGGAATAGAGAGGGGGCCCGGGGCATGATCTTAGGACAGGAGGCCTGCTTTGCTGCTGTGGGCCTTGGTGAAATGACTGTCCCTCCCTAAGCCTCAGCTCCTTCCCCAGAAGAATGGGACTAGAAATGCCACCGTGGAGGGAAGGAAGGGGCAAAAGCACAGTCAGTGCCTGGGCCTCACGCAGAGCTTGGCGGGTGCAGCCAATAGTGACGCTCTCTGCCTTTGAAGCCCAGATGGCTGGGAGCCACGAAGCCAGACCACAGAAGCCAAGTGCAAGAACTCAGGCAGAATCAGTAGAGGGTGAGTCCTGGCACAGGAGAACCAGGCGGAGGGAGGAGGAGGGAGGAGGGAAGGGAGGTGCCCATGGGCCTGGAGGYGCGTGCTCAGGTCAAACCAAATGCAGATACAGTGCATACAGTTAGTCTGGGGTCACAGATCTGCTCCCCGGAAGTCCTTCCTGTTTAAGTCTGCCCATCATCACCATTTCACCCCGATCCAATTACACCTTGCATATGTTCCAATATCACAAAAGGAGTCTGAACCCTTCATCAGTGAGGTGCACTCAACRTCACCCTCACAGGAGTCCTTTCTCCCACAGCATTTCATTGCATGCTTTTTTAATCCTCCCACGAGTTTAAGAGCTTAAAAGCCCATTTCCAACAGGAGAGGGGTCGATGCAGACRATCAAATGCAGAATGGAAGTCCAACATCTGGAGCACGATGGCCGTCTCCTGCCAACTGCAGACTGAATGAAACAGGGGTCACCCATCACCTTGGCCTTGAGGACACCACGTCATCTCCACTCAGGACCCACAGCCTCTTCCCAACAGACCAGCAGTAGGAAGCTCTGTCCTACTCAAAGTCTCAAGATGGACAGGGTGTTGTGGTCTCAGTTACCAGTGGACACAAGTGATCTCGGCACAGGCCGCACTGAGGGTGTTTCCCGTGCAGGTAGAGGCAGCAGGTAACTGAACTGAGAGCCAGGGGTCCTAGTGTCTCGCTCTGCCCCCAGCTCCCTGACCTTGGACTGTCCTTCCCTGGGAAGGCTTCATTCCCTCCATCTGGAATCCAGGACAGGGCTCCCTCCGTGCCAACCACTCCGAGTGYATCCCGTGCTGTGTGTTTGGGTAAGTGCTAGGCCAGGCCTCCTCCCATTACCAGSAGTCCACCTCGAGTGGGTGTATATGTGGAAATGAGCGTCTGGGTTGYTTCCCCCGTTAGCCGTTAGGTGGATTTTCAAAATGGTGTTCTAGTTTCTCCTGAGAGACCAACCGTATACTCCTGGGGGAAACTCAACCTGGCCACGATGTATTGATTGACTTCTTCTCATAGATGGATGGGTCATGTTCACATCTGCCCTTGTTCCTTCTTAAACTGCTTGTGTCTGGTTTCGGTATCAAGGTTCGCTGAGCAGCATGAAATGAGCTGAGGAATTCCATCTTCCTGATCTCAGGAATAATGTGCACCCGAGACCAGCGGAAGACCTTAAGGTTTGGTGGAGTCCGCCTACAGAACTGTCTCGGTTGGGTGTTTTCTGTGAACAGGGAGGATGCTTAACCTATGCACCAGTTTCTTTCATGGCATTAGGAATGTACATGTTTTTTCCATCTTGAGTCAATCTTTCAGACTTTTCTAGAAATTTTCTCCTTTCAGTTCAGTTTTCAKATTCTTCAACATAAAGCTGTGCACGGTATTCTCCTATTTTTAAAAACTGCTGCATCTACCATTGCTTTCTAAACTCTTGATATCATTTACTTGTCCCTCACCTCTTTTTGTCATGGCAAGTCTTGCCAGACATTTGTATATTTTGTAAGTTTTTTTCCCCCCAAAAAATTCAACTTTCCACTTCCCTRTGGCAGTTCTGTTTTTATTTTTATCTTGTGGCAGTTCTRTTTTTATTTTTATYTTGTGGCAGTTCTGTTTTTATTTTTATTTTGTGGCAGTTCTGTTTTTATTTTTATTTACGCTGTGTTCCTTCCTCTGCTTTTCCACAGGCCAATTACCCCAGATCCCCCAACCCGCTTCCTACATGGTCAGCTGTGGGCCTTTCTTTCCTAATGTAGCTTAGGGTATAAAGTTCCCTCCAAAACCTGCTTTAGCTGAATTCCACATTGTGATATGTCATAGGTACATTATTTTTCTGCTCTATGTTTTTTTAAAATAATTTCCATTATTTCTTTGACCTAGGAATTATTCAGAGGTATGTTCTAAAGTATGGACTCTTTAGCATTTATCTTTTTTTAACTGTTTTGAGGTTAATTGCCCTTTGTTGAAAGGTAGCCAGAGTGACACATGGTGATTATTTGTCACTGCTCCAGTGTGAGCTAAGGACACATTTTGGTTTCCTGTTTGCTGTGAACCCTGGGTGCACTCAGGGCGGCTTCTCAGATGCCCTTCTGTGTGCCCTCTGGGCTCCATCTGATCACCAATCATGCTGAAGCGTGTGTGCCGAGATTCTCACCTTAACCTGACTTCTCCCTAGTCTTCCACTTTTCCTTCTTCTTATTTTCTTTTATTAAGTTCACACAAGTCTAGAATCACTAATGCTCCAGGTGAACAACGTTTCGACATCATTTTTGTGTGACCTTTAGTTTTTCAGTAAACTCACAAATCACGACATTCTGCTGACGCTTTGGGTCCCAAATGTCTTGGAAGGCCCTGGCCTGCTCACACAGGTCACTCCCCTGGCTTCTCACTGCCCAGTGACTTCTTGCCCACGGAGAGCTCACCTCTGGCTGCACTCAGTCTTTAGAAATCCCCATGTGTCCTCTGCAGACACCTTGCTCTGCACCAGGACTGGAGACCAGGGAGTCCTGCTGGCTCCTTCGGCACCTGGGGTGTCCTGGCTGAAGGGCTGTACACGTCTGGTCCCTTCTCGTCTCCGCTCTGCTGTGGCCTTTCCTTAAATCTCATAGGGCAGCTTCCCCCACACGTGCAGCAGGTGGGAAGGCAGGGCCTCTGGCCCCCCAGCCTGTCTGGGTGTCCTGCCCCATGGACACATCCCACAGCCTCCTGCCCGGGGCTCATCCCAACCTGGGTTCTAGGTGTCGGTGGTACCAGGGCAGTGCTGGCTCCCGACCTGCTCTCAGGCTCCCTGCAGCTCTGACAGGGACACCCGCAGCCAGTCCCGAAGGACATCTTCCTGTGCTTGAGCTTTATGGGGGCAGCACTGGAAGCTCAGTGCTGGAACACCCAGAGACCCTACTGAAGCTCTGTCCTTAAGACACCTGTCACCACGCAGCGTTCACCAYGTGGCCAGAAAACAGTCTTGGACTCTTCAGAGTCAACTGTGATTTGCCACCTTTTAAAGAATTTATGGGACCCCCATCTTGATGAACTCAGCTGGGACAGTCCATCCACCAAGGTGACAGCGCACCAAGTCAGGGAGAGACTCTGGCTCCTGTCACTCATCAGCCAGGYGGTCTTCATCTCTCTTTCCCTGAGGAGTGAGCGTGCTGACAACACCCACTTCACAGCAGGGCACAACAATCAACAATATGACCCACAACAGAGGGCGCGGAAGGGCACTCAGTGCTRATCACACTTAAATGGTAGTCTTCAGAAGCAGAACAGAGCTGCCGATGCTCAACTGGCAGCTGGTCCGTTCATGACACTCGAGCACCTGCCTGCCCCCACGAGCTACCCCACACCTGGGAGGGCCCCCCCCTGCATGAAATTATCACAGTAATAAGTGACACATAAAATTCTAAAGTCCAGGCACAAAGGACCTCAAATTAGTCCTCAAAACAGTGATTACCATAGCTCTCATGTTATGGATCCTCTTCTTCACCCTGAAAGAGTGTAGCCTGCAGGCTTGATGACAATTTAGAATTACAAAGATAAACAATCCAATCTACGGTGACATTCAGGATGCCCTTAATTGAAATATGCACTTTTTTCTCCTTACTGCATCTTCATTCAAACATGAACTTCTGTTGTTTGAAAGAACACTAATGTCACTAAAATGTGGTCCCTGCCATTGACCAGAAGATTCACCAGTTCCCCACGGTCTCTCCCCAGAAGCAATGCCCTGGAGCTGCCTGGGCTGAGAGTTGCAGGCTGCTGACCTACAATGCACCCCACTTGGTCCTCGGCCCACCCCAGGGCAGAGACCAGCCAGGCGCTCATGGCCCATCTGCAGCTGGAGGAAATGGTGGCTTTAGAAGGTGCCGGCCCCTCCCGACCCCTCCTGCACTCACCGGGCTGTGGGACTGCAGGATCTGGCYGCAAGCCGCCTGGCTCAGTGTCTCCGACTCCCTCAGCTCCTCCAGCAGCAGACCTTGGATGCTGAGCAGGGCGGTGAAGGCCGACAGGGTCTCGGTGGCCCGGGCCGCCTTCTGGAACTGCACAGCAACCAGCGACTCCGCGAAGCGTCCCTCCTGGGCCTCCAGCCGCTGCACCCTCTCCCGCAGCAGCTCCCCTCGCACCTGGGGGAGCGGCAGCACCAGAGGGCAGTGAGCCGAGGGACGGGGAGGAGAGCCAGCAACCTCCCAGAGGCCAGGGCCGTCCCACAGAAGCACGGGAATCTACAGGAGCCACCGAGAAGTGCCCAGCTTCTGAGGACCACGCCTGTCCTTTATGCTGTACTTACCACCCTTGAGGGTGAGCGGGCGTTTTGCCGTCCAGCTCAGGCCCTCCCGTTCACTCTCCCTGCGCAGCTCCCAGGCCCCTCCACCCTGCGCAGAGCCTGGCACCTGCCTGACTGAAGTGCCCACACGCTCTCTTCCTTTGGTCTCCAGCTCCCGACTGGCCCCTCGGGCACCCTCACTTCTGGGAGCAAGCGCCTGTCCTGCTCTTCTCTGCTCGTCCCTCCAGCTCCTCCTCCCTTGGGGGCACCTGCTAGAGCGCAGGGCCGGCTGCACCCGGAGCTCTGTAYGTGTCCTGCCAGCAGACCCGACCATGGCCACTTGGCAACAGTCCCTCAGCGTCCACCTGTCTTCTCTTCTGTCAAGGCTACAGGTGTGACATCAGTGCCTCTCACCTCACCCGAGCCCCAAAAGGCAGGCTACACTCTGTGCGCCCCACTCTGCAGGAGGAGCAGAAGTGTGACCCGGAAAAAAAGCTGCACAGGCACCACGGCTCCTTAAAGTCACCATAACCCAAAGAAAGGCGCATGCAGTCCAGTCGGCCTACACAGGAAGGGAATCCTGACCCTGCTGCAGCAGAGACAGACCTCGAGGACACCAGGCTGTGTGATGTGGGCCAGTCCCAAAGGACAAGTGCTGCATGATCCCCCAACTGAAGTCCCTGGGAAGTCAGATGCATAAAGGCAGAAAGCAGAACTGTGGGCACCGGGGACGGGGCAGGAGGAAGGGTGGACACTGTATGATGCATAAGCAAGATGGAAAGTTCTGGAGTGGGATGGTGACGACACTCATGTGCCAGGGTACCTGGTRCCTGCTGAGGACTGAGCCTGGAGTGTCCCCAAAGGCTCCTGTGTTAAGGCAGCAGKGATCAGAGGTGGGGCTTTGGGAAGGTGGTGGGCTCCTGAGGGCTCTGCCCTCGTCAGTGGGTGGACCCATTGATGCAGTCACCTGAATGAGTGGACTGTTGGAGTGGAGGAAATGCAGGAGGCAGGGCCTCACCGCAGGAAGAGAGTCCTTCAGGAAATGTCCTCGGGGACCATATCTGGTTCCCAGCCTCCCTCTCCCTCTTTCTCTGCTTCCCAACCACCAAGGTGGGCAGCGTGGCTCCACCACGCCCTCTCTGCCASGATGCTCTGCCTCACCACAGGTCCACAGCATTGGAACCAGCTGACCATGGGCTGAAACCTCTGAAACTGGGAGCCAAAATACCTCTTTCCTCCTTTAAGTTGTTTTCTCAAGTATTTTGTCACAGCARTGGAAATCTGACTAACACAAGTGAGTTGTACATTTAAAAATGATTGAATAGGTGTGTTTTGTGTAAAGTTAATGTTTTAGCACAATAAAAAGATGAGCAAGAAATGGATGAGCTGTCTCCTTCATCATGCACCTGCATGAGCTCAGTTTTACAGGTTACACCGTATGGTCTCGATTTTCCCCCTTGGGTGAGCAAGCAGTGGTCCAAGTCTTACAAGGGCCAGTCTCCTACAGAGATGCAGGGCAGAATGAGGTGGCCACAGGGCTAGMTGGAGTTCTGTTTATGCAAATGTAAACTTAAAATGTGGGGGAACAATTAGCTCTTTGTATAAACCATAAGAACAACATGGACTACAAAGTTTAAGATATTCCAAAATCCTTTTTGCTTCTTTGGAAAGCTTAATTTATTCATTCCAGACGATGAAATTATGTCTCTAGAGASGGTTCAAGCCCTTGTCTAAAAGAACTCCTAGGAAAGGACAGATTTGCATTTCTATGAGGTTATTAAGGACAGGCTTCATTAAATATTCAAGCATCTGAAATAATAATTCATTTGCTGAACAATATTCTGCTAAATTCCCTTATTTTAATTGGAAGTTTGACSAACTTCCTACCAGTTTTCCCTGCAGCACGTGGAGCTCAGAGGAGGAATCCCAGGTATGCCCTGTGACCCTGCCAGCCAGCAGAGCCATGGGAACTCCGGGGATTCGTTAAGTCACAATCCGCAGGTCTGGAAGCCAATACAACCGGATGCAAGGGCCAGCCAGACAGAGGCCGAGTCAGGTCAGCCTCAGCACCATGGAGACCTCAGAGGAGGGGGCTCAGGCGGGTCTCCAAACAGGAGGCCCCCTGGGTTCAGCACACAACCTGCAGAGAAGGGGCCCCTCAGGCCAGGGGCTCCCAGAGAGAGGAGGAGTTAACCGCGCCCACCCCCTTAATCTCATCCATCCCATAACACCCGGGGGAACAGGGGGCCSGAGGGAGAGTCCAGTGCCTGCCACGGAAAGTCAGGCCAGCAGAGGCCACATCAAGAATCCCCCGTCTACCAGCTGGAAGAGGGGGCTGAGCCACACTCTGTGAGCACCGCTGCAGTTAGAGGGTCCCTTTCCAGGCGGATCCTCCCCTCAGTGGCTCAAGGTGCCCAGACAAGGTGGGAAGACAGAAAGTGAAGAAGACTCTCCCCTGTCTTCCATCAGGAGGAGAGCGGACCCATTGAACAACACGACCTTGCCCAGTGATCCTCACTTCACTCCCATTTAGATTCAGGATCATCCACTTCTACTCCTGGAAAGACACAACCTCTGGCCCTCACCACGATCAAAGCACAAATGTCACACGATCCAGGGACATGGCTGCCGCCGACCACGCAGCGCGGCTCTGCCTGGCCACCTGGAGTTGAASGCTGGTCTGTCTGCCGTCTCTTCCCTGCAAGAAACCACCTACCACCCAACCAGCTGTGCGACCCAGCCAAGGTGTCTAAGCTCTCTGAGTCTCAGGTTTGTGTGTGAAAAGGAAACAAAAGAGCGGGAGGTACCTAGTGAGYGCCAGGCAAGCAGGAGCTGCCAGTCCCCCTCACTGCATCATGGCCGTTATCACCACCTTGACCGTTAATAAAGAGGACCTCTCTAAAGTCGAGCCAGGAAAGACKGGAAGAATGGGTCGCAATATCGAAGGACTTTCCCCCTCTAGAAGGGAGGTTGTGGTTGTCTGTTTCTGATTACAAAATCCAGTACGAGGTACAGAAAGGTCAAYATGGAGGTGGCTGATGACAGAGGGACTTACAGGGTGCACCTACTGTGTTAAGAAGGAAGGGAAGGCTGGGCGCAGAGGGAGCAGAATCTGAAAGCCAGAAATTGGACGACCGAGTGGAAAAGGACTGGATGGACGCCCAGAGCCAGCACCCCCGGGGKGGGGGGGCAGAGAAGCAACAGGACCCACACCGCAGGGTCCCCGCCTTAGAAACTGCACCACCAGGTGCACCTGGAAGTGCTGGTAAAGGAGAGGGCGGCCAGCTAACCAGGGAGCAGGCCCCCGGAAGTCCCCCGCCCCACCTCCGTCCACAGCCCCTGCCCTTCCTGCCCAGCAGASAGCTGGGGTTTGCTCTTTGGGAGTCTGACCCGGGAGGAGGAGACCAGGCACGTCTGGTGGCAGAGGCCCCACTCTGGAGACTGGGCTGAGAGGCCTCCATCCCCAGCTCTCTCCCCACTTGGCTCCGCAGGAGCTGGGCAGCCAGGCTCTGCCGCGTGGGCAGGGGGCTGCAGTGGCCCTCGTTCAGGAACCCAAGTAGCCTGACAAGGGTCTGAAGGCACTGACCTCGGGGGTTCCYCAACCGAATGGCCCAGTCTCGTCACACCAGAGTGAAGGTCACAGTCTATGAGCCCCACCTGGAGGCCCAGAGACTCCCGACAGCTTTTTACTACCCCATTCTTAGATATGAGCAGACCACCAAGGAGGACCACAAGCCTGGCAAGACTTCTAATGAACCCAGAAGTATCAGTGAATACCCAGGATTAAAAAAAGAAAATCATTCTCAGAAAGAGGTAGAACGTTAAATGAGTCTTAACAACAATGAACATGTTCTTCTTTTTTAAATGGGCTTAACATTTTTTTAGTCGACAATGGACCTTTATTTTATTTACATGCACTACTGAGAATYGAACCCAGTGCCTCACACATGCTAGGCAAGTGCTCTACACTGAGCCTCGGCCCCAGCCACAACCCTCATGGTCTTTTTTAAGGAASAGAGTATGGAGGAGAGTATGAAGATTTAGAAATTGAAAACACAAGAGAAAAACTCAAAGGTKTGTAAGACCTTTGAATGTCTCACAAGTAAAGCAAAGAACAAAGAGAAGGAAAACAGTGAAAGAGGAAAATGAAGGGAAAGAGGTCAGCATCTGGGTATTCAGAAGGGGAGGGATCCTTAAGACACTTGAAGGAAGTTTCCAGAATCCCAAGATGGGTTAGACTGACGTCAAGCACAGGGCAGAACAGAAACATTTTCAGTCTTGCAAAAGTTCAAAGTATTAACTCCTTTCCTCAGAAACCGACAGAAGATGTGTTTCATTATAACAAAGAAGAAGTTAGGAAAGAGAAGGCTGAAGAGGGTTGGCAGCATGACCCCAAGGTGGCAGCAGTGCAGAGGCATGGAGAGATGTCCTCGGGGAGATGGGATTCATAGAGACGATGGTCCTGGTGGGAAGCCTGGCCAGCTGTCGAGAAGTGGACCCAATTGGTGGTAAGTAACCCAAGAGAAACTAAAGGATGATAGTAACTCCAAGAAAAACAGAAAGCTAACGCAGAAATGAAGAGGATCCCAGTTTGCTCTGTGATTCACCTGTGGATGACATTCAGGTGGTCGTGATAATAGAAAATGTAAATGCTGGTCTAACTATGTCGGGGCACGAGGGGTGCAGGTTGAGAGGACACAGAGTAAATCTTCACCTTCCACAAAGGAAAGCAAATAGGTCATCCTTTTTTTTAGTTTTTTTCCTTAGTTGTTGATAGATCTTTATTTATTTATACATGGTGCTGAGAATCCAGGCAAGTGTGCTACCGCTGAGCCCCAGCCCCAGCCCGCAAATCAGTAA